TTCTCCTTCTTCTTCTTTGTTCCTTTCTTTCTTTCTTTCTTTCTTTCTTTCTTTCTTTCTCAGCTTTCTTTCTTTCTTTCTTGCTTTCTTTCTTTCTTTCTTTCTCTCTTCCTTTCTTTCTTCCTGCCTTTCTTCCTTCCTTTTGTTCTTTGTTTTTCTCTTTCTCTCTTTCCTTTCTTTCTTTCTTTTTGATTTTCTTCTTCTTCTTTCTTTTTTTGTTTTTTTTTCTTACTTCCTTTTCTTTTGTTTTACTATTTCTTACAAATGGGAGACAGAGAATCAGAGAGAGAGAAAGAGAGAGAGAGAGAGAGAGAGAGAGACAGAGAGAGTTCACTACTGCGGGCCACGAACCCATTGAACAAGGTACATAAGTGTGATTTTGGCCCGCAGTAGCGAACTCCATACATTTTAGTTTTGTCGGACGGTTCTTTCTTTCTTTCTTTGTGGCGTCTCCTCTCTCTCTCTCTCTCTCTCTCCATTCTTTATTTCTTGCGTCTGTATCTCTCTCACTCCCTCATTCCGACGGATGCGTTTCGAAAGAATGGTCTGTTTGTATTTGTTAAGTTGTGTTGTCCACTGTTATATCAAGTCATGTACGGGGGAAACGCAGATGTACAGTAGTAAATAACAATGTATGTTGCCACGTACATATAACCAATCTTTGGTTGGCGCCCGCTGACAACAACTATGAAAGTAGTGAGGGCCTGTCTCTCTCTCTCTCTATCTATCTATCTCTATCTATCTCTATCTCTTTGTATTTCTCTGTATGTACATATATCTCTAGATGTCAAGATTGGCCAAAACCGGACAGAAGAGGAAGTCAGGCAAAGAGTGTGATGCAACGGCGGATCACTTTCTACTACTGGGGGCCAAAGAAGAGAAGACGACTGAGATGGACCGGAACTGGGGTCAGATAGTAGAGAAGCAACGAGAACATATAGACAGGCTAATAGACGAGGTACATAAGCAGAAACAATTGGCGAGACAAACGTCAGACGAACTAGACCGTATTAAGTCACTGCTCATAGAAATGACAGAAACTGCGGAACACAGGATGTTCACTGTTTTCTGGTTGTTGCTAGACGATCCAAAGTGTTTAGATATAAGTCGTCTGAGGGGAGAACAACTAGTGTGTTGCGATATCTTCAATGCTTTCACAATGGAGAAAGAACAGTGTGATCTTGAATTTGAAAAGGCCGATTTGCCAAGTTGTTGTGCAGAGTACACAGACAGTGCAGAAGAAGAAGATGAAGAAAAGGATGAGGGGGCATCATCTTCTGACGTGGAAGTGAGCGGCAGTGATGTCAGCAGCGACGAGGAAGACGAGGAACATGATGTATATTATGATTTGGAGGGTGCGGGTGGACAAGTGACAAAAGTGTGGGCACATGCAACTCTGAGGTTGGCACGTGCTTTTTCCGATGCGCACAAAGCGCTGCGTGTTGTGATGAAGGGGGCAACACCATATGATGCACTACAGTATGCCGCAGTGACCAGCATAATGATATCATGCAACAAGGGTAAAAAGTGGTCACGTGTTGGCAAGGGATGGTTTGTTCTGGTCAATAGAGAGGCTGTGCTAGCAACGCTACTGACATGGGGAATCAACCTGAGTTGCCTCATACACGGTGCAATGGTGACAGCTTGGGGAGAGACATTACACCCCGGCTTGTCAACAGGAGACGCAATAGTTAGTGCTTGGCCACGGCAGCGACCGGAGACACACCCACACACCACGACAGACCATGTTAGACATCAGGGATGATGACAGACATGCATCCCTCAACCTGTACATCCCTCTATGTCTGCCTCAATTTCAACGACGGTCGGGTTCACTACTGCGTGCCATATTAGTGTCCACCGGTGCTGTTTGTTGTCGTTTTGGCCCGCACTAGTGAACCTCCTCCTCTCTCTCTCTATATATATATCATATATATCATATATATATATATATATTTCTCTCTCTTTCTCATATGTCGAGTTGTAGCTATATTAGAACCTCTACATCCATCTGCGGGTTACATTTGATGCTGCCTGTTGTTTCCCTCTCCAAGAGAGAGAGAGTTCACTACAGCGTGCAGACACAGGATTAAACAATATTTCAATCATTTGATGATTGTTACGATGTATGTCATAATTTATTGCCTTTTGGAGTACGTGAGACACATCAAACCCCCTATGATGACCAATGTGTGTATATTGTGTTTTTTTTTCGCATTCTCTGTAATTTAAATTCAAATTTAGTAGGTTGTGAAATGTTTTGGAAGTTTGTGCGGAGGTCCACTTAGGTGCCGAGGTGCAATCATTTTCACGCGGACATGGAAAACACATACCACATTCACAAACATCGTGGATGGATATTTATGAACTTGGCCAGCCGCAAAACCGTGGTGATGAATGTTGTGTCATATATCGTGTACCATGCGTAAGTCGTTGCCTCTTCGTGCACGACCATAGAACCTGTTCTGGCATATGCAATCTGTGAAATCGGCTATGACATCAAAATCGTTTTTGGACACGGTGCATGTCGGACATACACCAAACTTCACAGTTGCAATCGCACATCGTTCTGGGTAGTCCCTGATATAGTTGAGGAGGAAATGGTGGACAGTTATGTCCCCGAATCGCGTTGTCGGTATCATTATTCCGTCATGAGATGCCGCCTTCGCAGACTGCAACACCACTGAAAGGGCCTTGTGCAAAATGATAGCCTTTCGCTTTCTGAATGCGGTGGACTGCAGACCCCATCCTTTGTCACGCGGACGATGATGAAGCACAGGAAGATAGGCCAGTAGTGTGGCTTCGAATGCGTGGTCGGTTAGTGACATCATCAGAGGATACGCCGTCTGTTTTTGACGATCGTCTGTATGTGTCTTGTCGGAATACAATGAAAGAGGGATAACATAACGTGGATTACCATTCCCGTCCACGCCTTTATCCGCTCGAATGATCGACTGGATGTGATAACTTAGCGTCCCGCTGTGTGGGCCAGATATACTGAGGTGCTCTGACGGCGGAGACACTTCTAGAGAAGACACCGTCTCACATTTCTGTAATGCGATATGAAAAATCGACAGAAATGTCGTTCGCCAGTCACGGTGCCACAAGATGGCGTGCGTATCCCGTGGTCAATCGTCACAACGTAGATCCAACTCTTTCCATCCAGCAGCGTCTGCTAGACTCCCTGCCCATGTCAAACATTCTCGACTATTACGATACGCAATGTCTCTCATGCAGAATCTCGGGTCCGTGAGAAGTGACAAGAGAGCATCGATGTCGCTCTGCGACATACCGACGCCGCCCCTGGCGGAGAAAATAAGTGCCGCGAGCTTGCGAGAGCTGTCAAAAGATTCGACTGGTTGCGGTTGCTGCTCTTCGAATGTCCCGCCCTCGCCGTCTACATTCTCGGGGGCCCCGGCGTCCTCGCTCTCATCGCTCACGAGATTCACTGCACCTATACTTGATGCTCCGGCGTCATCGACCACACCCATCTCCTGGCCATGTGTTCTTTCGTCCGCCACGGTCGGGCATGCCCTCGCACGATGTGAGTTTAAAGTTCATAATGACATGAAAGGCCTGCCACAGTCGCACACCCGTGGACCGCTGTCCATTTTCTGTGCATGCAGTGCATTCCAAAAACAAACAGAGCGGTGCGGACAGTGTTTTCATTAGCATTTTGTAGATTGGTCGTTAGAATTATAAGTTGTAGAGCATATTTTGTTATATTGTGTAAGTGTCGCACGTCCTCTTCTCTGTGAGAAAGAGATAGAGAGGGAGTACTGATTGCCGTTTTTGGTACGAATGGTCTGTGTCGCTGATCCCAATTGACAAAGATTAGTAGTTAACCGTGCCATCAACATGGAAACTCCCCAAGTTGCATGATCTCATACATCTGATCCGGTGTCCCCGACACCTTCGCGGTAGATGTTTGGGAGCATCACCACAGGAAATTCTTCAAACAGTCATACCTGTCATCAAACAAGCGGAAAACTTCAACCCAGATGGTAAGCCATGTGCACCGGTCATTGGCCTTGTGCGAAGAGATCGGGATCGTGAGGAAACGGAGAAAGAGAACGGTTGAGAACCGGTCGTCCGTGAGAGACTGTATGACCACCGGAATGATTACCCTCGCACTACGCGACACGGCAATGCTGCAACTGCGGTGGTTCGACATCGATGACGAGCACATACGCGAGGGAGAAGGCATTAAGATACTCGAAGAGCTTCCTTGCAGACGCGATTTTCGAGCTGCGCTTACGACATACATGGTGGAGAATGGTTGTCAACCTCCTTCTGACGACCTGCTTATACACACACGGACACACCTGGCCATCGCTTGCGTACAGGACGGAACAAATAGGGGCACACTTGTTCAAACTGCAAGAGCGTCACCACAGTTCTATGAGAGACCAGTGCACAGTGACGTCGCAATTAGAGCAGGCAACGAATGCACATGATTTGCATCAATAGCCATGTTTTTTGCCGTGGACGCACCCGCGAACAGCGGTAATATGGAACACAACTGTGGATTTGTGCAATGGTACAAGGAGGTCGACAATGAACGACAACACATGACAGGTTGCAAGAAATTGAAATGGGAGAAGTTGAATGGATATCAATACAGTAGCGTCGTTTCGACCGACACTATTGTAGACATAGTTCACATTGTTCCACGCTTCTCTAAACCACAATGGGGATCAAAGCAGCATGCAAAACAGCATGAGGACTGTTTTTATTTGAACAAGTACATATTGTAGAAGAAACAAATGCAAATTAAGTTTCTATGAGAGAGAGAGAGAGAGAGAGAGAGAGAGAGAGAGAGAGAGAGAGAGAGAGAGTGTTTCTATCTGTCGTCACCACGGGACAGTCATGTTGTTTCTTCCGAAGTATAGGGGAACAAGAGAGGACATTCGTCTTTTTCTTTCCGTTATTTGTTGAGAAATATTATGTCAAATGTGGCCAAGCTTATGAAGCGGTGAAAACTACATGCGAGACGAAAGTGTCCCTAAAAGTTCGCTACTGCGTGACATTTACGTGGTCAACAGTGATAGTCGTTTCAGTTTTGGCACGTAGTACCCAACCTCTCTTTCTCTTTCTCTCTCTCTCTCTCTCTCTCTCTCTCTCTCTCTCTCTCTCTCTCTCTCTCCGAACTATCCTATAAAAACGATTTGAAGTTGTTAAAAAAATTAACAAATCGTCTGTGTCATTGCAATTTGACCGACACGTGTGAACAGAAACAGAAACTTACGACGTCACGCAGCGTTCGGGAAGGAGCGACACAGAACACTGAACAACAGGGTGCAGGTAAGAGAAGCCGAGCGAGGATGACAGAGTCACAAAAAATTTACACGTGTGGTGGTGGCGCGAAGTGCTCATATGTGGGTACGGAACCGGTCATCGGTCCAAGGATGGAAAATAAAGACGAACAACACCGTAGAGAGGTGGCAAGCGAACCGTTGTTGCCATTAACCAATGAGAGGTCAGCAAGAGGTGGCTGAAAATGTTGAGGGACCCTTGGTACTCGGAAATGTACGATATAATGACATAGGGTGAAGCAAAGTCTCCCCAGTTGATAATTGAAGCACTAAGGGAAAAGCGAAAGTCAGGGACATGACAAGAACGAGAGAAGAGCAGACTGACATTAATGATGACGACGACTTGACCGTTGGCTTAACCGTTGAGGTCGTCAAAGGACGATGCGAGGAAAGTTCACTACTGCGGGTATTTGTTACATAAAAACCGGTGGCTTCACGAGTTGACTGGCCCGCAGTAGCCAACCTTCTCGCGGTGATGGCCGGAGACATGTTCGAAGTTTTTCTTTCCTCGCTATTTTTTTGTTATTGTGACTATGCGAACCCGTGCCGCCTGACAATACGGATACAGTCATTCTGACGCACAAAGAGGTTGGTGACTTAAATGACGTCGCAGTATCAACAATAAGATCTTGGTTGTGTGTGTCTCTCTCTCTCTCTTTCCCCACCTCACATTGCCAACAACCGTTGTTGTTGTTGTTGTTGTTGTTGTTGTTTTTTTTTTTTTTTTTTTTTTTTTTTTTTTTTTTTTTTTTTTTTTTTTTTTTTTTTTTTTTTTTTTTCTCTCTCTCTCTCTCAATGCGGCCATTACACTTCAAGGGTGTATGGATCGACGCACGACATTGCTGACGCAGTTGTTGTTCGTATTCCCTTTTGATGTATGTGGGGAAAAAAGGGTCATGGCTCCAAAGCCAAAATACGAGGATCTGTGCAAGTCTTTGAAGGGCGTGGGAAAGAAGGACAAAGGAGGAAGAAATGCAAGGCTGATAAGAAAAAAGAAAGTAGAGAGCATCGCAGAAGCAGATCCTAGAATGCAAAAACGGAGCGGACTAGCAGCGCAGAAACGGATCAAAAATTTCTCTCCCATCAAGTCAGAGGGGGATTTCAAAGCTGAAAGAACGTAATGAGTCACCCCCTGCGACTCCTGCCCCACGGAACCATGCCATCGGCGTCGAGAACCGTCCACCCAAGGCCCCCGAGAAGAGGTCACGGGAAGACGGAATGTCAAAGGTGCACCACAGGACAAAGAAGAGAATCACGTACAAAAAGGACAGAATGGTGGAGATGATCGATCTGAGAGCCTCGGACGCTGTGCACAGCGCGGCCCGAGAGGAAGCAGAAGAGGAACACGATCAGTCCATATCAGAAAAGTCTGACGAGGAGGAGAACGAGGCAACAAGTGACGAGGGAGGTGACAGTCAAACTTCCGACGAACATTCTCGCAACACTCACGACGCTGATGACGAGGACGGCAGGAGCAGCGACGGCACAGCGCCGGACGAGGGCGGTGACGGGGCAGGCAAAGAAGAACGCTACGCACGAGGAAATCCGAAAGTGGCGGCGAGGGAGGCGCAACCGACACGCCCTCCATTGACATACAACTAGTGAGGTACGACAACGTAGTTAAAAAAGGTAAATAAAATGTGTTGAAGTTGCTCCTCTTGCACAATGATTACATGGTGACAGCGCAAAGTGATGACATTTTCTTATTGCGAGGATGTCGCTGTGATGAACTTACAGTTGAAACGGGCTGTCGAATTTGGCAGGTGCGAAAATGAGTGCGAAATGCGGAGTTCTTAACATTATTCTATGCGTTGTAATGTGTGTCTTCCAGCAGATGGCACGAACTCACAAAGAAAAGTGTGCGTGAGCAGGGGAGGACAGCAACAAGGTAATCAAGAAAGTGGCATATTCTCGAAGAAAATGAAGGACAGACTGTTCTGGGCGGTCGCAAAAGCCTTTGCGTTCTCAGCAGCGAAGGACGCAACTCTGTACCCAACAGAGGATGAATTTTTTACGGCGCTGCAAACAACGGCCAAACTGATAGGCGAGAACGCCGAGGAAGGACTGCGATCACACGTAACGGAGTGCGGGATTCGAGCAGTCATAGGGGAGTGCAACAGAATGATGACAACCGTGCGTGGAGAGATAACATGGCAACTGAAACATTGGTTCTGGGCTGAAAAAAGGATCCCGCTTGTACGATCGCAGCAAACAGATCACCAGCTCTCTACTCGCAACAAGATGCGAGCAGAGATGAAGGAGAACAAAACGTGGAGACGGAACGACAATGATCCTTGGAGCGCCCCAGCCTTCAAGACGACACTCACCAAGGTTTTCCAGATGAGGAGGGACGGTGTAAACCTTGGCGTGACCCTGCAGCAACTGGCTTTTGCAGAGATGGTTCTGCAATGTGAAATTGAGCAGGCAACAAAGACCACCAGAGCGGCAGAGCAGATAGGAAAATTGTTCTCTATAAAGCAGGACATTGCATTATCTGTCCGCAGCCGCGATACAGTCATGAGTTTTTCAATCTTCAAGCTGGAGCGTGCCGTACATGTTGCTGAGAAGGCTGCTCCGCTATTTCAAGCTAGCGTGCCCTCTGTCCACAGGAGTGGGCCACACAACACAACAATAACGGATGACGATTTCGACCTGGAGTTCATTGCACCGCAGCATGAGAGAAGCAGAGACGGGAAGAGGGATACAGAAAGTTTGTGCGCCAGACCTTGAACAACGAGGCGTGGGGGGGGA